GTATAATGTACTGAAATTTGCCCAACATTTTCACACATGGTGGGAGATACATATAGTACAGATATCCGTGTACAGAAGATATATATAATAATAACACAAAGAAGAACAGGAGCCGCCGGTTGATGATGTGAATGATGTAGGGAATCACACTCGAGGGTTCTTAGTGCTTAATCCACTTAGGCCGACGATAACGCGGCCGTAACCAGATTTTCGGCTACATTTGCGGGAAGACTTGATGTGGTTACGCCGAGTCCGACACGTGCTATGCCGACGCTCTGTCGGAGATGCTGGTGAGTTAGCTGGAGATCTTGTGGATAGCTGAATAGTGTTGTGGAATAGCTGGAGATCTTTACGGATAGTTGGAGATCTTTAGGGATAGTTGGAGATCTTTAGAGATAGTTGAAGATCTTTAGGGACAGTTGGAGATCTTTAAGGATAGTTGGAGATTTTTAGCGATAGTTGGAGATCTTTAGGGATAGTTGGTGATCTTTAGGTACAGTTAAAGATCTTTTGGATAAGCAAATATTGTTGAGGGATAGTTTAGGATTTAATAGCCATACGAACATTTATGTTAGAAAGGTTAAGATCTCTTGGAAATGTGGGAATTATTTTGGGTTAGTTAGCGATAGTTTTGGAAAGTCGAAGTTTCCCGTTGGTTAGATATCGGTGATTTGGAATCTCGGGGAATCTTGTTATGTAGATAGTGTACTTTTGGCTAGTAGGAGCTGCCTGTGAGTCTTTTATATCTTTTATATCGTATGATAGTCAGAGATTTTACCAGCATTTTGCTGGTAAAATGATGTTGTCATCGATGGAGGCATTCTTGATAGTTGTTGATAATTGCAAGGTAGTGAGATATCTCAGCGGAGCAGGCAGGTCTGTAAGAGACTACGAGAGATCTTTACATTTGTGAAAGATCTTGGTAAAATAGTTGAATATCCTCAGCGATAGTTGGCAAATTGATTGTTGGCGATCCTGGAGGTTAAATCGGAAATCCTGGCAATCATTTTTACTTTTTGCAATGGAAAATTAGTGACGGATCACCAGATATATCCATTGTTACATCCAATATCATAAATTCCTTTTAGATGTAGATAACCTCGAGACGTTCAACGAAAAGTGCAACAACGAGATATCGCATATAATTTCAATCCAAACGTAAAATAATAAAAGTTGATATTCATTTCGATTTTTGGAGAAGCCTTTATTTCCATCAGATCCATGAAACCAACGTTGAAACTGATGTCGAATTATTTTGATTTTACTTGGGTAACTTGGCCTCTTCTTTTGTATTGTTCATCCTTAATTAATCGAAGATATATTTTAATATTATTGTATTCCTATACTATTTTTTATATTCAAGTTACGATCGTAATAAATTTTTTTTAAAAAAATCGACGTCCTGAGAGAAGGAGTCTGTAGGCAAAACTCTCTGCGCGCGGCCGCCCTTCTCCGCACGCTTCGGATCAATGGTAATTCGAGCCACATTCGTTAGACCAACACTCCTGAGCTCATATTAATAGACGGATCCATTACTTGGTCCCTAATAGTCTAATTAATGGTGTTTGATCCTTCGTAAGCTCCAAACAAAACTCTGCTTCCTCTCACAGAGGGTAAGTTTCCAAGCTGGTCCCATGACGGCGCGCAAAGTTCACACTGTTCTTAGGTTTTCATGAGTTGTTAATTTTTATATTTTTTAAATTGTTTCAATGGAATTTCGTACTCCTAAAATGCATTGAAAATTTCAATGCTCCATTTTGTAGCTTATGTGTTATATTTATACGTATCTTAGTTAATTAAAGAAATTATCTGCACCTTGATGTCACGTAAAACCTCACCATCGATTGGTGAATAAAATAAAGACCCCACTTGTTGTGATCAATTTTAGTTTGAACTTTCCTAATGGATGAGAAACAAGCACTCAAAATTCTAATATGAATGAAATAATTCTATGTACGTTTTCAAATCTAGCCAATTTTATCCTATGACCAAATACGTAAGCCATAAACTAGTCCACAAATTTTAGTGGAGAAACTATTTATTTTTAGCGCATTTTCTCATTTATGCAAAAAATGCACTATTGTGCTCGCCACCTCCGTCTGTCCGTCCGTCTGTCCGTCTGTCTGTCCGTCTGTCTGTCCGTCCGTGACTTCACGTTTTCGTCGACGAGAAAATGCGCTCTCTGTCACTCACTGCAGTGAGTACCGAGTTATATTTTTTATTTCGGTGAGGGCATTGAGCGAGCTGCGGCCAGTCTCGTCCTCGAAACTAATTACCGTCAATTTGCCTATTAGACTTCAGTGGTCCTCATCTCAGGTCCTTCAGGGCCTGTGAAGTTCTCTCGTTTATTTTCTGCCTTGGCCCTAGTATAAAAGCTTGGTCGTCTTATAAGTGCCTATTAAATGGTTTGAGGTCGAAGCCTAGGAACATTTTTACGAATTAGATAAATTATGAAATAATTTAGTTTCCATTTTAAATTAAAATAAACTATTATTTAGATATTTAGTGTTGGATAAATGAAATACCAATGTATTTCATGTATTTACCAGTTCATTCACGATTATATTCATTCAAATTAATCTTTTTTACCTGCGCATGCATAGCATGAAATTAAGTCTTCTTTTCGGGCATCATATGATTATAAGCTATCAAAGAGCTTGTGATTATCCTTGATTATCCATATTCTCAAAACAGAGAGCTCAATAATGACGATTACGTAAACAATAATTCAATAAAAGTATCAAGCCATGATTCCTTGTTTATGAGAGAATTATAATAAAATTAGAATTATAATATGCAATTGTAATATTCAATTAAATTACGCGAAATTCTTACTAGTTCTAAAGAATATAGTATTTACCATTTGCAAGTGTTATCAATGCTTCGAAAAAAATATCTTTAAATATATTCTCCGTTAGTTCGTTTCGTAAGTATACATATGCGTAAGTCATCTTCTTCAAATATTTATCGAACCTCATTTTATTGAAACTGCATATACTTATGACATCTATTGTTGAAACTCACTACGCCAGAGGGGTAACTCTGGCGAAGCTGCTTGTTTAAAATTAAATTTGGCAACAATTGGCCTCCAACCGAGAAACTCGCTGAACTTCCCTACCGCTGAGATTTTACATGTAGCCTGATTTGGATGGCCAGAGCTTCACAATTACATTGTTTTGTTTTTAAAGGCCTGCAGGCAAGTTAAGGACTTCAGTGTCGCGTGTGTTGTTGAGAGGTAGGGTGGCGCTTCTAAGCTGCCTCTTCGGTGACACGTGAACATCGCAATGGGGTTCCTCATTTACAGGGGATACGGCGTGTAGCGCACGTGACTAACGTGTGACGTAAAAACGTAACTCCTGCTCAGCTCTTTGCTGTATTGCGTTAACCCATGTCCATGTATGTGAACAATTCTTAATACTATGCGTAAGGAATTCATATTGTGCGGTAGTAAGAATGGTAAGATACTGGTGTGATATTAAGCATATGACATAAGAACAACTAATTTTTATTAGTAAAAGGAAGATTATTTGAAGTGAATTCAGATCGAAAGACGTCAAAGACAGAAAGATAATGTTTATTATCAAAACGATACTTCTATATTAACTGCATGCACAGCAGAAAAAAAGTATAAGCGATAATTACTCTTTTTATTCTATCTTGATTGCACAAATGTCTTGAGCCTTGGTTGCCTGAGTTAGATTCATAAAAAAAATTATTATTATAGCGTCAACAACTTTCAACGGCGTTTTCTCCTGAACCGAAAAGTTGATAGCACATAAATCGGTACAAAGAAACAATAGCAAGGTAAAATAGCACTGAGACGTCGGGAGATTTTGAATAATTTTCTTCAAAAAAATTCAGCTAATTTGTATTGTAGCGGTCTCGTTCAGGATTTTGAATTAATGTATTAAAATATTTTTAAATTTAGAATTAGATTTAAATTGTAAAAATAAGATTTTGTTATATATGAACGCCACCTCGATGAATACAACAGCCGTAGTTAACTTAATTCCAACTTTTAGTATTTAGATTCATTTCACCGGAACCTCTTATTAGAGTGAGGACCAAGTGTTGCCACTGTAATCGCATAGTAATTACTCTGTTAAATAGATGAACTGATTTATAATTATTATAATCTTTTTCTATGTACTTGTATTTGTGTAACTTGAGATTATCGGTTATTGTACTTGTATCGGTCTGTACAGAGACAAAAAAAAGTGTCTTTATTTATTCCGAAATCAACGTGAGACGCTTTAGTATATTGAGATTTCGTATTTTATCATGAACCAATTGAACTAATTGTCTTTATTTCATTAGTTCGAAAGGTTAAAATACATCGTTTTATTTTCTTTGGTTTACTGACCACTACCATAAAATTTTACGGTTATTTGTCGAATTCATTATATTGTCGAATTCATTCATTACATTCCCTTATCAGCCACTTAAATATTCAGCATTACGCGATAAATTTGGTTGTGGCACGATAGTATATCGTCTTCAGGGTTGTGCTGGACTGGTGCATGTGCTATGGTATTCAGGGTTCGTTATTCCTCAAAGTTTACAAAATTTCTCACATGAAAGAATTATTCCCGCAACATGGTAATGCATTTCGTTACTAATTAAAAAGCATTTTTTTGTGTTTGTGTGCAGATTTGGTTCCACTAAAGTTATGCATCTCCTTTCTACTTCGATTGTAATTTTTTCACTTTTACATACTCAGTCTTATCTCTAGAACCATATTGATGTATTTCGTTACAACTTAGAATGTACAGAAGTTCTTGCGTGTGCAGGTTTGGTTCCAGAACCATAGTGATGCATTTCGTTACAACTTAGAATGTACAGAAGTTCTTGCATGTGCAGGTTTGTCTCCAGAACCATAGTGATGCATTTCATTGCAACTTAGAATGTACAGAAGTTCTTGCATGTGCAGGATTGTCTCCAGAACCATAGTGATGCATTTCATTGCAACTTAGAATGTACAGAAGTTCTTGCATGTGCAGGTTTGGTTCCAGAACCGTCGCGCGAAGTGGCGCAAGACAGAGAAGACCTGGGGCAAGAGCACCATCATGGCAGAGTACGGCCTCTACGGCGCTATGGTGCGACACTCTCTGCCTCTACCTGACGCTATCATCAAGAGCGTCGAGTCCGGAAACGAGTGTCCGGCGCCCTGGCTTCTAGGTTTGTTTAAAAAATATCTCCTTTAGCATACATTGATAATGATTAAATTATACGATCTCCTTTAAAATACGTTGATAATGATTAAATATTACGATACGGGGAATATGATGCGCCTTTTACTCCAACCATCGGTGGTCATCGCTAGTAGGAGGTCAGATGCGGTCACGAGTCTCGTAGATTGGCGTTTCAGACACAGCAGCTTGTGTACAAAGTCGCGCAGAGTAGAGATAATCTCATAACTATTCCGTACTTCGAAACACGCTTCAATATGAATTTGCGCTTATGAACTTATGTTCATAAATGTTGGTCCTTTCTTCTATTTTTCAATTCCTTTTAACACTTATTAACACAAATACTTTTATTTTATTTTTTTAGGAAGAAACGGCAAAATAAGACACATTTTGAAACGGCACATTTTGAAACGGCAAAAATAAGACTAAGTAATCAAGAATGCCAGAGCTAAAAATTATTTATTTTCTAAAAATACAATTTTATTCTGATTCAGCATGTTATTAACAAATTTTATATTGCTCTGCCCCTACGAAAAAATTCGCTTCAAATGAATAGAAAGCGGAATGGTACGCTCGGGAGAAAGGAAAATCCCCCAGAGGAAGCAGAATGCACAAAGGAAAATTTTAATCACAAAGCAATGAAATTATATATTTAATAAGGTGACTGCTGAGGTTTGTAGAGCTCGAAGTCAGTTCCGCTGAAGTCGTGGGCTCCTTTAACGGGACACACGACAAACTTGATGTATTGCTCAACAGTGAGACCGTTCGGCAGCTTTTTCATGTGGCCACTGTTAAAAAAAGTGGACATATTAAAATATTTTGGCGACATAATTGAAATATCGGTGTAAGAATTATAATTATAAATTATAAGAAGAATTAATAAGAAGCGGGGCATGCGAGATCACAATCTAAACTTATAGGATTGTAAAAATCGAACAACGCAACCAATTCATGATGTGATGTATATTAACAATACTGAAAAATATGTTAGAATAAGTGAGTTTCGTTACGAATGTCCTAAAATTAACTTATAGTATCGAAATCAGAATGCCAAATAGTCTCAAATTGTCAACAGTGAATTCGAATAATTTATTCATGGAGATATCACCGCACTAATCACCGACAAAATCAAAGAAAATGTTTGTCTCGTCGTCCAAATAAAGATAACTCTTCGTTTCAAATTTATCTTCTCAAGTATGATTACAGACAACGCGTTTAATGTGGAAAGTGGAAACGGAAATATGGATTATCGTATATTCTTGATTCTGAATGGGACGTAAATTTTTCGTCAATGAAATCGAATTGGGGCAATATCCACGATTTCAAACTAGGCAAGCATGAATTACATAAGTGAAGAAATGGGTAGAATGTAGTGACATGAGTTATATAAACAATAAAATGTTTAATAACTTACTTCGATTTACGAAGGTGACTAAGTAGAAAATTTTGTTTTTCGATGGAGTTGTGGTAGAAATATACCGGCGTCCCCACAATACTCATGATGACGCGATTGCATACTGGGCAGTTTCTGTTGAGTTAACGATATCAATTATCTATAACTTTCATCCCATTTATCGTAAAAATTTTTTGGGCAAATATCCTTAAATCAATCACAATTCAGAAGTGGGGAATAAAATATACATCATTTAAAAAAATATATTTTAGATATCCTGGTTGGAAAGTTTGATATATTTAATAAATTATACCTGTGTTATACATAAATAAATATATTAGACATAAATAAAAAGGATGAAGCATAGTAACATCTATCAATTTTTAGCGCATTTTCTCATTTATGGACAAAATGCACAATTGTGCTCGCCATGTCCGTCGGTCTGTCCGTCCGTCCGTGACCTCAAGTTTTCGTCGACGAGAAAATGCGCTCTCTGTCACTCACTGCAGTGAGTACTGAGTTATATTTTTAGTGGTTTTAACCTTCAAATACCATAGACTATCATGACATATTATAACTCCAGTATTGTAAGGAATAAAAACATGAATTACTAATTGCACTTGGGGTGTTTTTTCTCCCTAATTATGAATATACACTAAATTTAAGTAATTAAAATCACATCAATGCATACATGATGACGATATTATATCTGAATGACTTCAAATATTAAGAAGGATATTGAATTTCTTTTCTTTCAATATCTCCACTGATACGTCAGTTCATCTACAATACACCATAAACATATTAAAAATATCCTCGATAATTAATCAAAGCTTACATTACTCGTGAGCTCGTACGTGAGCTCACATTACTCGTGAGCTCGTACATTGCTCGTACACATCACTCGTGATATAATTTTATTGAACTTACTTTCCCATGATGCCTCTGTTCTTCCACCTTGTGATGCAGATGTAGCAAAACACATGTTCGCAGCCCGGTAGCAAGCCGTAATATCGTTTACAATCTTCGACCACCCGCGAACACAGTTGACACGCTTGTTTCGGTTTCGCTGTGCGTGGCGCAATCGAATTATTTTCTGCAATGGCAGAGTTTTTGTCGTCTAAGACATTGGTGGAATCTTTAACTCCTATATTGCCCATAGTTCTGAATTTGATGGTTTTCTTGGTTTCCTTGAAATTCCTGATGAATTTTAAACGCCTGGAATTTTTCACCATGAAAATTTGGGCGGAAAATTTTACTTGGTAAATAATTTGTATCAGTTCCAAAATTTTTGTTTCGTGTCGCAGTTCCTCAGCTTGTTTTCAACGAAAAGTTTACCTTTTAGAGAAATTTTGGTTTCCTCTGAGTTTAATAGGTGAAATACGCAGCTAAAATGATCTTGAAAACAATATGTTAGTGTTCTTCGTTGACGTCACAACAATATTTACTTAATACACTAGCAGTCGTACAATCGATGCGGACTTCAGTGAAGTCAACCAATAAGTGATGGGACAAAAGTTTCCAACTGGGCCTAAGGCTCGTCCTGGTATCGTACGGAAAACCACACCTTATCTTACAGCGATCTTCTCTTTGTTTAGTGTTAAGAGTATCTCCAAGGAACTGACCATATTTTAAGTAGGCCTTGGGCGATCTTGAAGTTCTTGAATATTCCTGAACATATCAGTTAATAGCGATAACAATTGATAATAAACAGTTTACGATACGTAAATGTTATTTCACCGGAGTGGATAAGAAAATTTCTAGAAGAATTGGGGTGGCCGCTGTTTATTAGACTAGAATTAGACGCTAGAAGAATATCTCTCCGTAGCAATGCATCAAAATTGAATTTCGTTGTGTAAGAATTTGTTAGAAAAATCTTTACATTGATGATTGTTCTGCAGAAATAAATAAAAAATGTTCAATGAAATGATTGATCTGTTGGAATGCACCAAAATTTTTGTGAATTGATGATCGTTGTTCAGAATTTAGCTAGAAATTTTTTTAATTGTTAATCGTTTCGCAGGGATGCACCGGAAGAGCATGGAAGCTGCTAGCCACTTGCAGGACACCGACAACGACGGTGAGAATGAAGACAACAACAGCAATCAACAAGAAGAAATAAATAAAGAAGAAAAACAGAAAAAACTTGATAATTTAACAGATAAAGACGCACAGCTACAGCAAAAACAACGTAGCAGCGTCGAGCCTATGAATGAAGATAACAAGAACAGCAATATTGAAGATGATGATAACTCGAGGGGATCCAGCAACAACAACAATAACAACCAAGAGCAAAATGATAACCGAGATGAACAGCGAAATAACAGCGAAGCTCAAGATCAAGCGAAAACAATAAAAGAGGAAGCAGCGAGAGGAACTGATAATTTTTCTCACAATACAGCCCCTTTTATGCCTAAGAAGGTAAACAGCAAATAAAAGTGATTAAATTTTTGTGAAAAAATTACGAATTTTTCATAATTTCTTGGGCGAACAACATGTTAAATGATATTTGTAGAAAAATGTGGAAAATGGTATATAAAGAACAAGGTGTTAAATAGTATTTGTCATTTTCTAAATTTTTTAGCGATGAACATCACTGTAGGCGTTAATACTTCATACATTCTAATTGTATGAAGTATTAACGATTAGATTGTCCCACTAATTCATAAAGTTCAGAAAAAAGTTACTGACGTCTCAATCTAAGATAACAACAGGAATTAGCTACTTAGTCCCAGATTTATCCTGTGAGTTCAACCAATTGGTTGCCAGAAATCAAATGCATTAAGAGCCACATTCTTTATGATTTGGATACTTGACAGTACCTCATAGTTGGTGGTAGGATTTGTTGTAATTAGATTTATGATATAGTTCAAAACATTTCAGCAATTTTAGTGGCAAGTAGAAAACAGAGAGGTGTTTTTTCCTCAAAAAAGTAAATTTGAATTAATTCCGAAGTTCTTTTTGCCTATTAATTACGTTTACAACTGCTGAAACCCTCAAAAGTTTCACGCGATGATTCGTTAAGATTATTATTATACGTTATAATATTAATTATTATTTTGTGCAGGAATCTGTCCCTGGTAGCAGTTACGGAGGAGGCATGGGCCATCGCTCAGCCCGCCACAGCCCCGCATCGATGTCATCGCCGTCGCCGAACAGCTCGATTTCTTCCCCCAACTCGATAAGCAACTGTAACAACATCATTGCAACACTGGCGAACTCCATGCCTTTGCAACACCCTAATAACACCTTGAGTATAATAAGCACCGCCGCGTCGATCATGGCGAACGCAAGTTCTATGTTAGGCGCCGCCGAAAACTCGTCACTCATGTCATCGCTGCCAAATTCTTCGGGAGCTTCGGTAGTGCAGTCTCTTTTGGGACCGGGGATGGGGAACGCTTTAGTTGGGAGCGGGGCAAACTCTTCGGGTTCTTCGGTAGTACAGTCCCTTTTGGGGCCAGGAATGGGGACCGGTCCCTCCTTGCTACACGGAGCTCTTGGGTCAGCGTCGAGTCTGGGACTGCAAGACGTGCAAGTTGACGATTTGAGGAGCTCGAGCATCGCGACTCTGCGGCAGAAGGCCCAGGAGCACGCTGCCAGACTCGGCCTATGTCACATCAATTCGAATTTAGCCGCTCTGCATCAATCCGCCGAAGCGATGCATCATCATCACCATCATCATCATCACTTAGCACACTTCTAACGCAGCTGTATTTTTTGTAAATTGTTGTTATTGTATATAACATTATTATTTCATGTTTACTTCCCATTTCAAGGTATTTATCTCACCCCTTTTTAATAGTACAATATTGATTTTCACAAGAAGTTGTGCACAGTTTTGGTAGTCTTTTTAAATTTTTTATTTTCCACATTAGATTCTTTACTTCACGATTTTATTTCAATTCTCGTGAGATTAAGAAATCTCATAAAATAATCTCATAAGATTTCGGCCGCTCGGCGGCGGAAATTTATGCTTACATTATATATATGATCGCTTAAACTTGATGAGATCACCATCGACAAATATTTATGCAATTATGATTTATTCGAATTGTATAAAATGTGTTCTCAAAGTTCAATAATTCCTCAATATTGGGAGCTCGGGATTCCCTGTTAAAATTTTATATCGCTTGCGCTCATTTGTTAAATTTTTATCACTAGAAGCTTTTTGAACCTAATTTTTCCCTAATTGGCCTCAACAAAAGTTTTATTTAATTTACACGTATTTATTACCTTCAATTTCATCTAACTCAACTTTCAAAATGCGCAACGTAAATTTAAATTGAACTTTTTATGCATTCAATTAATATGATACAAGTTATATGATTATTATATCTAAGCAACCACTCGTAGTATCTTGCCTGTTCATCAACAATTTTTCGTGTCAACGAGTCTTTATGTGTTCATCACGAACACGATTTATGCTCACTATTTATGCCAATAAATGGCATTCAATGCATTTCTTTACAACGAAATGTTATAGACCTGACATGACCGGGCAATTTCTTCATTATTTTGTAACATGACTATGCATCGTCTCCTCATGCAAACGTTTGTATTGACGGACAATTATTTATTCCTGTAACTGTTCTCGCAATGCATTTTTAATTAGTGAAATGAAGATAAAAAGTGGATGTTGACTGCAGGAAAGCTTATTTTCATCACTTTTCTTTTACACTCAGTTTCATGAACTGTTGGCAAGCAAATTGAATTTTCTAGTTCTGTTTACTATAGTTATGCTTCGACCCTAGATTGCAGTGATAAATTGGTTCAAAACATTCATAGGCAACGGATTGAATGGTTCCGGACGTAATTTTTTAATGAAATGTTCGTCATCCAAATCATGTATATAAGTCAAAATCTGTTAGAAAATTACTCCTGCAGGTACGCACGATGTCAATTGATACAAATATAATTAAAATTTAGGTTTCATTGAAGACCAGAGAGTATTTATTATTGACAATTTTCTTATTGTTTTTCTTTATTCGGCGAATTAAGCCTTTGATGGGACTTGTAAACTAAAATATAAGGTTTACAAGGGGACAGTTTATTTTGATTTACTGACTTTCGAATGCAGCTATATTCATTATCAAGTAGGGGGGAGAGTTTTGCAACACTTGCCTATGAAATTTTGAAATTACGTTAATACAAACATAGGGTTTAATGGATACCCTCTGTTTGTACTAACGTCATTTCAAATTCAATTGTTACAAAAATCTTCCCTACTTGATAATGAATGCAGTTGCATTCGAAACTTAGTAAATTATATTAAAATGTCAATTGAAAACATAATATTTGAATTTTCAAATCCTATCAAAAGCTTAATTCGTTTAAATTTAATAATTTAATTTAATGGAGAAAAACAATAAGAAAATTGTCAATAAAAAATAGTACTCTCTGGTCTTCAATGAAACCTGCATTATAGAAAACAACTTCTGCCGAACTGCAACAATATAATCAAAGTAACACTATATCAACTCATTCCAAATTTCTATAGTATTACCTTTTTTATAGTTTCTCAAAGCGAATATATTGGGACTACTGGACTAGAGAGAAATTTAAGAATGCTCTGTTAAATTGAGAAATTATTCGTTGTATTTTCTATGTACAAATTGTACCCATGGTCCATACGACCTCCCGTTGAATCCAAATCAATATAATTGTAATTGAATCTAGAAGCGTAAAATTATTTGGTGAATTTGTAAATAGTGAAACAGTAATATATTGCAACTGCAACTAGCATCGTAACTTGAGGCTTCGATGGGCTGCACTTGAGGCCTGAACACTGCAAATGTTTAAGATAATTATGTGCTCACGTCATCGAAGAATATTTAAGTGCAATAACGTAGAAAATTTAAGATAATACCATAGTTCATTGTCTGTTTTATAATGCCGGACTTGAAGCACGCGTCTATTTACTAGAGGCAAAAATGCCTCACGGATTTGATGCCGATATTTTTCATCCTGCATTTGATGCTCAATTAGTTCTTTTGCCAACGCATATGATCGTCGCATGCGCTTCTTAAATCTTTCTTAATTAATGTTACGAGATATTTAGTAAAATTTTTGTGGTAAAATTTAATTCGAATGAGCTGAATTCTTTGCTTTCTTCAAACTGAAATCATATAATTTTGCTGTAAAATGATTGCTGCAAAATCAAATGTATTAAGGCGCAAATATAAAATTTTCGTCATCAAGACACCTATAAAAACCGGTAGAATTTACATAAATTTCCATATTATTTCAGTACTGAATCGCTAAAAAATAGAATATAAATCTCATACTTGATTTAAATCCGAATCCATGCACGTTAACTTGACCATTTCCACGTTAACGTTGGATTGTCGATAATCTTACGTGCCACAACATGATGGTATTAACCCATTATAATGGCGAACAGCGTTCGCTTCTTATCCCATGAGTTGTAACCTTTTGTATTGAATATGAATGATATTGATTAGAATTAACACGTTAATCATTGAGCGATCGTCGTCCGTGTTCATTTTTCCCTCGGATTTGATGGTCCGAATTCCCTCATCGATGTCCGTGTACCATAAGATTTCCCATTTTCCAGTGTTCCTGTTTTTATGTGCTTAATATACAATAAAGAATAATTAAATTCTTTCTCATCCTTCATAGGTGATACTAGAAACAAAACTATAAACTGAAAATTTGAAGCTAAGTCAAAACATCACAAAATGAAAAGAAAGCAAGCCGAAATCGGAGCGATGAGTTCTCTTTAGTAGCTCAGTGTATTTCAAAAGACTGCTCTCTTATATATATACTCATAAAGACTGCTCTTTAAGCAGTCTTTATGTATAAAGCAGTCTTATGAAATAAAGACTGCTCTTTTATATGTATCTGTTGCAAAATTAACCCTGAAATTTTTGAACACGGCCAATTTTAGTACATAAAATAAACGGCAGTTATAAAAAGAATACAAAAGACAGATATCGCTTCATAGTTCAAAATCGGATCTACTCAAACAAATCACGTAAACTTATTTTTTGTTTCTGATAAACTTTGAGATGATTATTTGAGTAATAATTTTAATTTGCATCTCTATTGGGACATAGTCTCACTCATTACCTTGAGTGTGCAACATCAGGAGGAGTGCGCCTTAGCTGGAAGAATGCTAAATGCGTGATGCTTAGGATGTTTTATGCTTAGGATGCTTGATGCTTAGGATGTTTGATGCTTAGGATGCGTGATGCTTAGGATGCTTAGGATGCTTGATGCTTAGGATGCTTGATGCTTAGGATGCTTGATGCTTAGGATGCTTGATGCTTAGGATGCTTGATGCCTAGGATGCTTGAGGCTTTGGAAGTTTGATCGCCTCGTTTCCTTAAAAGCACGCATTTCTTTACCTGCGTTTTTTTGCAATATGTCACTTTTTCTGCAATGAATCAAGTGTTTTGATACTATCGTACACTACCAAGATCTCTCAAGTAATTTTCATGGAATTTAATTAAAAGCACGCATTTCTTTACCTGCGTTTATTTGCAATTTGTCAACTTTTCTGCAATGAATCAAGTGTTTTGAAACTATCGTACACTATCAAGATCTCTCAAGTAATTTTCATGGAATACTAAAATTTGGAAGGATAATTTAGAAATGAAATTTGATTTCCAGTGTACTTAAATGGTAGATTTCAAACTTCCAAGCTTCGGAACATTACCAATAAATTTATTATTAATCATACTAATGGAATTTATTTTTTTAATTACTCTGAACTTCATTGTTAGGAAAAGACTAGCAGTCGGGAGCATGATTTTTTAAAGTACATTTTTACAATTTTTCGAATTTTGAGGAAATATATTTCCCTTTCAAAGCATTGGCTCATAGATGCTGTCAGCAGAAAAGAGTAGTTATACCAAGTAATCCTTGCTTTCTTTCTAGTTTTCGTTTTCTTCCAAGTTTTTCTCTATCGATTTTATGAAGCATTGAAGGGGCCACTCCGGTATTTACTTGCTTCCTGCGATGCCCGATGGAAAACTATTCTGAATTTCAATAACTATCTATAGCAAAGGGTCACAAATTTGCAGCATTATGTTCTATGCTGATTAATTTAGGTAAGTCTCCGTCAACTCTGGTCGCATTATATTCTCTGTTCCACAACTGAGCAAATAATTTCCTTAGGATTCGTTCAAATTTCTTTCACCTACAAGAACAAGAAATTCGCTCAGTGTTGATTTGCTAAAGATCGAGGGAGGTTATGCGAATGTTGTTAAGCCTTAAGTTGTGCACTTGGAGGTGTTTGCACTGTGCTATGGGGTTAAACGTAGAAATCAAAGTTTTTGTAAGAATTGGTTCAAGAGAATGTGCCTAAGTAACTCTGTAATCATCTGATCGAGCTAAATGCTTGATCAACGTTCTTGTTGTTGAGCTTCAAGTCGACTTACTCTAGCATATGCAAGATATTTTACTTTGTTTTCTTCGTCAGCTTACTTTTAATCCCATCTAACGCTAAACATTGTAGACTGATTTTTAGTATAAATATCCGCCATGAAAAATTGTTTTGACTAAATTGTAGCCCGATTCATGACTCTATTCGAGTAGGTATATATATATACCTACCGTAATATACGCAACCATTGACTCCCGTGACAACCAAATTCTTCCACGTAAAACATTTTTACGTAATTTTTTTAGATCAGCTTGTTAGTGTCATATTCTTACAGTTTTTAAGACGGTGACTGTCTCGTATCCTTCTAAGTTGTTTAATAAAAATTGCGTCATTAATGCTTACACGCCCAGCGGCCAGTCACGACCTCTCATTACAAGGCTATTCCTACCTGATGGCTTTTCTTTCATTTTTTTCAGTAGTCTTCCGCCATCTAAGTGACCAAACGTGCGCACTGGGTGCAACGCTATTCTTACCAGTTCATACATTTGGTCATATTAACTGTCACTCAAGAGACCAGTGAACTGATCAATGTAAACATGTCTTTTGAGGCGATTTTTATTCCAGATGGAAAACAAAGTCCAGGAAATGTCAAAATCGAAAATGCGGAAACGAAAGAATTCTCGAAATTCACTATACGATGTTTGCGTTTACCTCTCGTATTCACTTACCTACCCATGATTCATATGCCTGGGCCACATTGTCTCAGCTCATCCTACTATAATCTTCACTTCTTCTGAACTAAATTTACGGCACAAATTTTCTATTTGTGAGATTGGAAAAGGATGAATAATGCATCATATTAGCTTGTATAAATAGTTAGGTATGCGTACTTGCATGAACGTCTTCGTATTTTTTAGCATTGCAAAATCGATTGGGCAAGATGCGCGTGGCATGACGAAAGAATTAAGGAAGAAAACTACTGACTTTGTTAAGGTTATTTCGAGTACAATGCTTTTATTTGAAATTGAAATATCCAAACACCGACTGCATTAAATCATTGAATAATATGAGATTAAGTCGTTCTTAAAATTCATTCAAAATTCAATAATAAAGAAAAGATATGACAACAAAATATCGAATTGAAGCTGAATTCACTGGGTTTACGTTTAGTCTTTCAACTGAATAGAATACTATTTACAATCGATATCATGCTGCATTACTAAATTTTAGTTTAAGAACATATATTTAGAGCCATGTTGCTGCACAAGCAAGTGCAAAATTTTCTACTGAATTTCCTCGTAAACTCGGGCCTGAACAATTGCTCAATGTAATGCAATGCAGCTGTGCTGTTCCAGCCATTGAGTTAGCCACCACTAGACGTGGTCACACGTAAGTGCTATAAATACGAGCAGAACTCACTGGAATTTATTTCTATTACTTATAAACTGTGGAAAACTATATCAATGTTTGTATTAGAATGTATTATATACTAGTCTGATAATGTATTATACATACATATATTTATTTATGTCTAAAAATATTTGTATTAGTCGCAACAATTGGTCAGGAAACATATAAAACTCAATCATGTTTGTCAGTGAAAAAAGTAAATATATACTGGGAGAAATTAATAGCTGGAGATAAACATATTTAATTAAACATTTCTGTGCGCTACCGTGGACAATTAGAATATTACAATTGAACATTTTAATTAATGAACATTAATATACATTACTATAATATAAACATTAAAACAAATAAACATTAGAATTGACAATTTAAATTAATGGTGAATTTTGGTGGAATTAAAATAGCATAGAATAGAAGTGTCGGCACTGAAGAAATATGCCCATAGCCTGTTGAGGATTATTGTACTTTTCGTGACTTGAATTCACTTTAAAATTATATTCAATAATTGTAGTTCGTGCATGTTTTGGGGTTGGCCTGGATACTGAAATTGAATGCATCATTGATATTTTTTAAAGTAATTTTGCTATTTCAGTGAAGCGAATATGGTTTTCGCCCCCATTTAACGTCGTAACTGGTCGGCGAATAGGAGCGTACGAGAGACCAATTTGTTCGTGCCAAACTCATTCAAAATCGTGCGTTTCGCAAAGCACGTCAGAGCGATGTTGTTCACCGTAGTTTCGGATTTCATTTTTTTTTAATTCCTTGAGTGCGCATTACAGATGATATGAATATCATGTTTGCTCTCAATTTTTCTTGAATGATATTGATTCAATTTAATTTTACTTAATATAGTAATAAATAACGGCCGTTTTCCCTAGACATGCGTGCGCGAAGTCACTTGCATTAGCTCCTTCAAACGTGGAATCGACATGAAAAATTATTTTTTTTACAAATTTATTTTTAATTCAACTACGGTATATGGCAGTACGCTTTGTTTATATATGCCATTCGTTATCTAAAGCAAATTGGGATTGAACCATCATTGTTGGACCATATGAAATCTGCCTATAGGTTTTTGAACTCGCATCACATTGAAGGCATAATGTGTCTCTCCTGCTAATAAAGATAGATGATAATTTCGTTCTCTTTATAGTTTGTTTCAAGATATCATTACCGCACTCGAACCTAAACTATATGCCATAATTCATATTTTTTTTGTTTGACAAGCATGAAAATGTCAAGTTATTACGAGAAAATTGCTCCGTCACCTATAGAATTATCAGCATAAAGCTTGCGTAACCACATGATTATATTTTGATATTTTTTATCCGAGAACACGCTAAATCTACTCTTCACTAAGAATACGACTACCTACTCTAACTATTAGCAATTGATATTGAATGCGACATACTTCAATTAAATGAAATTCGCGATTATGTGCTTGATAATACCTAAGTGGGCTGAATTTTTATAATTATTGTTCCATTATCTTATTGTTCAATTATTATTCTCACAGAGCATTTTTTTCAAACGTCCAATTGTGAGGTATAGAATCTTGAATTTAATAAGGTGATCAAAAAGAAAATCTCCATCAATCTATCCCACTACCTAAGCAATCATGCTCATCTCTGGAGAGAATGGAACCTGCGACGCCCAACGTTGACTCATCGAGTCAATGCCCTCGACCTCGATGCAACTTCGGCAAGTCACTCTTCTTCGCGGCATGTCTAACCTGCCTCTGCATGGTAGGGCTCCTTGTCTTCATGGGAATAGGGCGTGATGTGCAACCATTTCTGATATTCCTTTTCTGTTTTGTCGTTTATCTCTCAGTTTCCTGCTGTTTCGCTCGTTTTCATCCGAACCCCACGAATATTCTCATTAAGGAAGAGGATCTCGAGAACCCTTCGTTCTGCCGTTTCCCAGTCGGTGGTCGTCGGTGCGCACGTGTCGACATAGGCGGCATTGACCTTGGCCATCATGGGGCTTTAGGAGACCTTGACGATTCCGGATCGGCGTCTCACGGACAATCACAACCAGTTTTAGAAGAACGGCCTCCGACTTACCAAGAGGCTGTAAATCTTCCTTCAGAGTCCCCTCAAACAGCAATGACTCGAACAGAAACGCCTCCTCCAGACTTCGATGACATAGAAGCTTCTTGGAAGACAGGCAGAGGTGATTCCATTGTCAGTCCATCTTAGTCAGACAATTTTAATGTTTCCGTTCAATCTTTGTGGAGTTGAAAACCACAAGTGCCGTCTTATCGCGAGTCAATAGCTGTTTATGAAGCGTGAATGATTGTTTAATGAAGTCGGACTATTCAGATGCAAGAGCAGTTTGCTTGTTATGCTGAGAGCTAAAGTTTTTCTAAAAAAGAAGCTAAGAAGTTAGCTGTAAATTCACATTTCGAAGCAAGGACCATATAAATGCTCTTAAGGGGTCTGGAGCCGCTCTCGCTGCCATACGTGAACATGGGGATCGAGTACCACAGACACACCAGATCAATTATTAAAAGTTTTATTCCTTTACATCGAATATGAATGAACTGTTCTTTCAAGCTGAATGAACGCAAAGCTCTCGAGCTTGGAGCACTACCTGTCCCGATGTTGGCATATTCGATGGCCTGGACAGCAAACCCCTGCGCGTTCAAACCCAGGGGTCGCCCAATGGTTGCTCCCATACTCAGGTGAGTGTTAAAAAAAAATACTAACTTAGGTGTAAATGCGATTGTAATATTCATGACTTTCTCAGAGATGTTATCTAAAATTACAATGTTTGTTGATTTGTTTTTAAATCTGGATTGAGTTAAAGAAATATTTTATTCATACGGTATATCTATAGTATATTTACTAATCTCACCCAATCAAGCGATGAGGTATGCTACGCTGACGTTAGAACGGGCCGCATGGATGAAGTACGGGAACGTGATGATTTCAAAGTTGATTGATTGATGTTTTTAACTCATGTAATCGATCTGGTATCTTTCTATCGAACGTATATAAATAAATATAATGAGAAACACACTTAGTATGCATTTAAATTCCTGTTGATAAGTTTCAACACCTGAACCTTTAAGGCATATGAAGCAATATAAATTTAAATAGATCGAGTTGCAGAGATTTGCTATGGTCGGTAAGTAGAAATGGAAATCCACCCTGCATAACCTGCACGTTTGAAAAGGTATGGATTAGTTTCAGGTAGTTTATTTAAAAAATTATTCCAACAATAAGTCTTGAAAGAATTGAAATTGAATTATTCCAATTATAAATTTTCAAAGAATTACATGTTCAAAATGCATTTCTGGATAATCACTTTCGAAATACTCATTAGTGACTTTTCATATTGAGTCATTACTATCGTCAATATTATCTAGGGAAGGCGAAAAGAAACCTTTTCATTTATTTTTCACAATATTCATTTGGAGAAAATTTTTTAGTGTGCATCATTTTTATTGTATAAGTTTCATTTCGTTGCGTTATTTCCTGCAGTTTTAGGACCGGCCGCAGCTTCAAATTGCAGTATTTCAAAACAAAACTATATAATTGAGAACCAAAATAATGAAATTTCTCCAACTTTAAGTCTTCGTTTCATAGTTGGCAACTTTAACTTTTTAATCACTAAATTATAAATACAGCACTTGACACTGATTTAATTATCGCATTTAATTTATAATTAATATGTCCTCTATAGTTTACCTTCAATTGATTTGTTATTAGAAGGCAAGATTCGGTTATATTACATGTACAGTCATTTGCAAAAGTTTAAGACCACCCTCCGAATTTGGGTTTTTTGTATTAAAAAATGATAATGAGGCAAAATATTCAAACTGTTTGTATTTGATGAGACAAAGTGAATAAATAACAAGCAATTTATGATACATTTGATATATTCAGAACCTAGTGTGTCCCTCTTTATTGTCAATAACAGCCAGCTACCGTTAGGCCCGCCGCAGGCTCAAACTTGTACATCACTCATCCAAAAAGGGTCATTTCCTGATTTAGTTCAAATTCTGTGGGTGGTCTTAAACTTTTGCAAATGACTGTAGTATTACAATTATTTGGCTGTTGTTTATCGTGATGATTTAGCAGAAAACATTTACTGCACATGTAAACTTACAATATTCATAAAAGAAATTGCAGGGTTTTTTCATTGGAAGTCGTACTAGCGGAAGTAATTTGCATAGAAAACTTGGAAAATGCAACAATATAATTATATTAAAAATATTCTATATAAATAATTTCTTCTTAATTGATATTCGTATAGGCATTTTTGCTGCATTTGGCATTATGTTTAAATTAAACTGTTCAAATTAAACTAGTTCTTATCTCAAGCGGTTTTGAGAAACTCTGTCTCGACTGAAGTTATTCAAATTAACAATGGATCGAGGGAAGTGTTTTTTATTGGTCCATGCACGCTTTTTGTAAACGACACCTCGCGCTATATGAAGGACAAGTGGTTTACTCAATTGCTAGCAAATTGAGTTATCTAAAAATTCGCAAAACCTAATTTATTTTCAGATTAATTTGATAATCTGATAGAGATTTGACAGATTCCGCGAAACATCGATGAAACATTTTCCCCTTCAATTAATAGTCTTTAAGCACCTACGATACCGATTGGCTTTGAATATTGCGGAAAAACTAGTTTACGTACAAAATTTTCTACCCATGTACTTATTTTTGTCCGACCTTGAAACTGAGCTATAATTGCCAGACTCGCGAGGCGTATGCCAGATTAAAAGGTTTGGGGGAGACTACGATAATCAGGCGTTGTTGCTCGGCCTTAAAATTTCTCCTTATATTGTTGATTAAAAATGATACAGTTTACAAATACCCTGAAGTTCCTAATCTCGAAACTGCTCATAATAAGTGATTCTAAGCTTTTTATGTTAAATTTTATGGTCGAAAATACCCAATACAATTTACGAAATTCTCTCAAGTCTGTAAGTTCAGTCTGTTCAAATATATTTGAATTTTGAAACGACATTCTTTTTTTTTTATTTGATTTCGGTCTTCAAATTAATTATACCTGCCTAACTTCATACTTCGCTCTTAACTGATAACCATATCTTGTCAGTAACTTTTAAATAACTAATTTATTCTGAATTTCTCAAAATTAATACTAAAAAAAGAACAACATCGCCAAAAATAAGAAGAGGTTTCTGCTTTTATTACAAAATATTTTATATATCCGTAAAATTCTCAAATATATCAGCCCAGTTATCATCATTGGAAGTATACAGGACATCAATTCAATTTTTCTACTTTCAATCCCTATTTTGATTATTTACAACTACGCGTGTATTTTTTAATCGAACATTTTTTCTATGACTTGATAGTTAATTCTATTATACTTTTCTAATTGGATTTCATCGTTAGTTGCAAGTCATTAGTTTTATGATGTGTACTTTAACGTTTACGATTTTCTGATACAAGTTTTTTTTTCGAAGATTCTGTCAGGCAGGATCACTAAAAATTTATTTCACGTATTAATACGACTAAGAAATTTCAGAAGGATTGTGACTGGAATGAACTAACGTATTGATGACAATTTATGAATATTTATGGATGTAGTTCAATGTAGGTGATGTCCCAGTGTTTTGAAAAAATACATATGCCTTACGCCCAATTTTTTTGTTGTATTGTCATTTTGTGTCATAATATTTTCAAATCGAAAATAATTTCCATATTTAGACTGCTACACGAGTTCTAAATGAATCATGCTACTCCGTAATCATCGGTAGGCTACAGAAAATTGAATTAAATACAACACTAAGACTCTTGTCTGAATAGATTATTTCTTGCAGGTTCCAACACATCGAGTCCGCGGCGATGGACAACGGACGAGCCACCGTCAGCCCGCGGCGGTGCTCGGACTGCAACAGGAGGTGCGGACACGCCCGAAGATGTGCCGGCTGCTCTCGACTCACTACCTTCGAGCACGAGCTCACCCGAGCGCCATACAGCGTCCCTGAGCACCAAAGAACCATCCTCATGGAGGCTGGCACTCTGGAATCAAGTGTCCGGGAAGGCAGCTCTGATGGAGCACAGAACCAGATCACAACAACTGCACAGTTACCTGATAATTTTAATAGGTTCCGAATGGGGAGCCTCAATTGGGGGATATGGGCGGGGTTCCTCTTAGCAACTGTTATGTTAGTCCCGACACACATTTATCTTAAGAAATACGACTATAGGATAGACTTGCTCGGTATTATCTTTGTATTGACCGTGCTTTTCCTCGTGTGTTTTTCAGTCTCCATGTTCCATTCCAAAACTAGAGAAATTCTTCTCCATAGATTACACATCGAAGAAGAAACGCGTGCGTTCCCAGCCTCGAGTTCCCCGGCGTCACGACGTAGACGTTACCGCAGGAACGTGCGTTTCTCGTCGCGTTACAACCAATACCCATTACGCCGCGTGCGCTCCACACCTGAACTCCATCTCACGAGACTCTCGTCGAGCTCCACGGGGTCACCCATACTCATGTACCCCACGAACAACACCGGCGCTGCTTCGACCCTGGCTGCGCGCTGCGCCCGGAACGCCAGCATGGCAAGCAGGGCTGACCCTCCACCCTACGACATCGCAGTGCTGCTGCCCAAGCCCCCCATGCGGCGCTGTGAGACTCCTCCTCCATCTTACGAACACATACAATAGGCACAGCGGGTGTAACCATCGTAGATACATACTGAACAGACTTGCAATCATAGTCGTAAGCTCCTTATTTGATTAAAATACACTCGGAATACCGATATACGAATATTGAATACTTCGTGGGACTTTGAAAGTTCTAAGTCCCACGATGAACACTTTAGCTAATTACAGTGATCTCGCGTGCAATTGACATATTGGATATATAGTCCAATATTTCGTACTAGTAGCTGTTTTGTTTTGGGACATGAATTTTAATTGGAATAAAAGAAAGATTAACTTTTGATCATAGAATATGAATGGTCTAAAATACACGAGTTATCATTTTACCGCTGTCGTTTTTAAATTCAAAGTAGGAAAGAAAAGATTCAGCACTCTACTGCCAAACTTATATGTGACTCTGACTGGATTAATAATTAATATTTGTGATTAGTTAGAGAAAGCAAGAGACTGTGCACCTGTAACTTAAATCAGCCGAACCTAACCTGTAATTTAGACCAATAAAACACATAACACATTCTTTAAAGTTGAATTACTTCCAGCTGATATCAGTTAAGTTTTACTAAAAAATAGATAGGTTTTTACTAACACCTGTACCATCACAAGTGTCATTAGTGCAGTCTATCGCTGATGGGGTTCAAACCTCTCTGAACTCAATATAACCTTATAAACGATGTAGCTACAGGACTTCAGTTATTCCAGGAAGAACTAAATGCATGCGTTGCTGGAAATTTTGCAATTCGAAATCGAAAATCCCTTAGATTGCCATGTTAAATCGAAGGATTGGTTGGAGACACACTAATCTACGTACATTTAGTACTTCGTAGTACCTTTAGTACTTAGTGAAACGGCATAGATAAATTTTGGCGGCCATGCTATGCAATATTTCATTACCCGAAACATCAGTATAGGGGCAAATATTTCATTCAAACATTTATAGTGGAGTTCGATTACAGATCATTATTCGATAGCAGAATTCTTATTTGAATATTCGAAGAATATGTTATGTGTTAGGCTAATTTAGAGGTTTAGTCAACTTATGACACCTAATGTTATAAAATTCATGCCCATTTAGGTAATGAGTATTGAGTATTGACCCTTCATTCACTGCCTAGTCTTAATAGGTGTTTGAATAATAACTATTTCAGCTACTAGTCTGAGTGAGAATATGATTAATGAGTTAACAATAATGTTTACCACCTAAGGTGAATATGAGCTAAATTTAAAAGAAGTAGCTGCGCTAACTTCAAGTTTGGTACGAGTGCTGTAGAAATCCATTTTCGTGAAATAGACTATATAGTTAATGCAAATTTTAGTACCTTACGTAAGGAAAATCCTAGCTAATGATGACGATGATTTGTTCATCGAGGTGATTTTTTATCGTTTTCAAGGCTGTGGTGACTGGATAAGTATTACTATTGAAAGGTTTTCCGTGTAACGGTAAGTGATGTACATGCGTTAAAGTGATTCAGTGTTTCCTTCACATACGTTCAGTGTTTCCTTCAGCGCAGAAGCATTACTTTTGATTTCATGTTATAGGTGCAAATTTTTTTAATCTAACGATACAAGATTTATATAGATTTTGATGGTTGTATTCAGCGAATTTTGAGGAATTATGTGAGTTTGATCCCTAGCAGTTATCTTGTACTTTTAAGTGTGTCTTAATAGCTACTTTTATACGTTATTCTTCTTGAGCAGAGCTCTTTGATGTGTATTTATGAGTCATAGTGTATTTGCGACGGAAAAAATTTATTTCCATCTGTTTTCAACGACGCTAGTATTTCATTTTATGCTTGCATTCGTTATTACCTGCAAATTAGCTTTTTTATATCGTAATTATGTGGTAAAATATTTTCTCGGTGTTCCGTTCGTTATTTTCGAATGTCATGGGTTTCGAAACTGGCGAAATTTACGTTATCAAAATCAATCCATTTCAGAAATGATCTGAATTCACGTAGTTATGGTACCTGAAGTACGTACCTATAGTTCGGTCTACCTCACTCGAAAATTTGATATTTGGATTGATCCAGCTTTAGTATTTTAACTTTAAATTGGGATTAGAAAATTTATGCATTTTAATCAGAAATTCGACTTGAAATTGGTTGGTAAACAATTGCCTTCTTAGATAGATGAACCTATTTAGATTTAGAACATTTCTATTCGAAATGAAGAGTCTAATTTCACACGCATGTTGATTCTCGGTTACCGAATTTACTGTATTTGACGCCTGAAATATTTTATTCGTTGAGTTGAGCAATTTTTATATAATTTTCTTGCTTTTTAGAGGTATCAGTACTAAATTTAACAAAAATTATAACTGTGCGGAAAACCTTTAATACATATAAATGTTAATATTCATATGTAAAATTTTATCTCCGTCGTCCTAATTAGTTTCCGTCTCAGGTATAACTCAGCTGTTTTGTTTATGTCAAATTTATTATTATACTTTATTTCCTTAGCGCATAATCCTTATTTCCTTAGCGCATTTATTTCCTTAGCGCAGTGGTAATGTAATTATGTCAGTGTTTCAGCTTTCAATATTTCCCACTAGAACGGATGAAACAATCAACTATGAATTTTATTATAATGATAATTGTGTTTATTGAGATAAAACGACATTGCTGAAAAAATATTATTTGACACTCTTGTATTCAGAATTTGTTTCTGACCAAATTAGGCTTAACAATTTTTTTGATTGGCAACATTTTCCTGAAAATTACAAAAAAGCTTTGATTGATTTATAACGATAAAAGTTAGGCTGACGTTCTAATATAGCATTTTCAAGTATTAACCCACACTTCGTATATCGATTCTTACGAATATTACACAATTTGTTATTAACTAATATCCTAATTGGGAGGACGATAGAGAAAAAATTCGCATTTTTTCTTTAAATATTTTTAATAACTTCCATCAATCGCTACACAATTGTTCGAGCTTGTGTTTGAGCGCAAATTTTGACAGGATTTAGTCAAAAATATATAAAATAAGTGCGTTGCAGTTATTTACTTCTAAAATATCTGTGCAGCTTACAGTAAGATTATCGTGAATTATGGTGAATTTCCAGTATCATGACAATCTAGCAAGGTTTGGATTTGAATTTTAGCTACTCATTTTTTTAGTCTTTATCATTCAGCCTATAAAATCATTTAGCCCATAAAAACCCCTCTATATATTAATTTTACATCTGTTATCAAATAATTTTTCCGATTACTATGATAGTTCCTTTAAATGGTAAATTTTTTGTGTCCTACAATGTTTTTAATCAGTACTACAATGTTTTTTCGGATCTATTAATCCTACAAGCATACGTTGCTGGTTTTAATTAGGGGCAACTAGTTACAATATTTAGCGTTGAAGTAACTTTCTTGCAGCTGAAAAGCTAATTTGGAAATTTTATTTAACGCCGTGCTCCTGTAAAATGAGAAAGCCAAGGAAGCTTCCTACAAATTCTCACTAAGTTTAAACTTATTTTGTGAGGATTACATTGAATTTAAGGAAGCCGAGATTTTACGGATAATTTGTCGTTTTCGATATCTTAATTCTCAACAGCCTGAGAAAAGTAACAGCACGGTTTATTGGCAGGAAGAGAAAGAACCATCTTTTTTGGCCATGTTCCTGTAAACTATCATTTTATGATTAGTTAAGCATTCTGCGGCAAATTATCCCATATTATATAATTTTTACCCTTTATTCTCAATAGCTTCGTGGTTTTATCAGATCCCTGTTAAATAAAGTGGAATTTTAGAGGTTTCAGAAGGTGTTTTATTTGTGTTTCTTAACCTGGAATTTGATGCAGGACGTCGAATTTAGCTCCATAAATGTAAGTGTGGATATAGAATGAATTAATTATAGATAATTTCATCCGTGTTCATAAATATCGTACGATCGCAGATGAATATTACATGAATTTTATTGAAAACAAATTTAATATATAACCTTAATTGCGGTCTTTTTACGACGATGTTGAATTTTTTATTTATGAGATATTGATGAAATGACCGTCTTCACGTTCATCGCATAGATTGCTTATGAAGATAATGTGGGATGATTCCGCTGGAAACAATTATTCAACATCTGACTTCCTCTTTTTGTTGCGATCATCTTCAAGAAATAAGCTTTATGGTGCAGCGTACGTATTTAGAAAATGGCTTGAACTTAATTGCGCAATTTTCTCCCATAGGATTAGCAGTAAATCTCGTCGAAACGTATGCTGTTCGGCATGAAAGTGTCTAGGATTTTTTGAGATTCATTATTATTGAACCACGAATTTTCAGTGACCATCTCTTAATCGAGTAACACTTCGGATGTCGAAACTGCTCTTTACATCGTCTTCGCTTCTACCGTTTGTGGGATCCTGATTTCTCATCACTCGCTGTAAATATTTTCTTACAACTCGGTTATTTTTCATTCACATTGCTACCTTTGTTCGACTCCAGCCCACTGTTAATAAAAGGCGAGGCTGCAACGCATCTACACTTACAAATGTTTTATCCATGCACGAACGATACGCTAGAAGGTAAATGCCGCTGGTAACCATGGCGACGGTCTGGTAACAAGCAATCTCTGCAATGATTAAATTCTCATCCTAGTTGATAATTATAGTTGAATTAAAGGCGGCCGACTGTCAGTGGCGACCTACTCTCTTTGCTGTATTTTTAACAATAACGGAACGGTCATGAATATAATATGAATTAGCTTTCGAGGTTTGTGAAATTATTCGAAAAATGTGACTCACGCGGATGAGCGAAATTAATTTATTTACCGAGCTTTACCTGATAACACTTTTGGAATCCATCGGCAATCCATTCCTTAACTTATCGATTCGTAATATGTACGGTCGAGATACTCTGCATAATACATGTAATCAGCCCTATGCTTAGTCCTTTAAAATTATTTATGCTTCTTTCTTTACATGACATCAGTTAACTCTAAATTTTAGATACCAGATTAAATTCCATATGTGCTTTTAACCAAGCTATAATTTTAATTACAGAAAGACATAACACAGCAGCAACATGAATATAACATCCAGGAACGGAGGCTCTGGCCTCAGTCGTGAGTCGAGAGCGAGCGACGTCGGGAGTGCCTGAGTGTAGAGACCGAGCACTCAGTCTCGGTTGCGTCTCTTCTATATCTTCTAACTGCTCGAATAAACGAGTATAATTGAATGTCGCATGAATTAAATAACTTATATAATATACTGTGTATTCTGAAAGATGTTATGGCCGAAATCTCACGATCTTTAGGCGTCGAAGCGGCATACTCTAACTGCAAGAAAGAAAACTTTTAATTGCATGCCACTGGACATAACAGTTTCAATTGAAATAATAGGCGGAAAATTCTGGAATACGTTACAGCCCTTAATTGCAGTTCAGGGCTCTACACGTACAAAAATCGAACTGTCATAAAACTTCAATGATTCCAGTGTGGTATTGGAAGGAGTCTTTCTGGTCTCTCTAAATTTTATGATATTTTTATATCATTATTGAGTATTATCATAGACGACTGCTATGACGAATAGTATCGGGGTTGTGACCGCAATGTGTGTTATTTTCAAAATTATCCACAGCATAAAACCAGAAACTAGTTTAACTAAACTCCCAAAATTATTCTCTGGTAAATTAACTGTTACATCATTCTCGCTAAAGGTTTTAATATACATGTACAATTGTTGCAGCTTGCATTAATTTTACGCAAAGCTAATGTTAAGATTGACTATTTATAACTTGGTGTGAAGTACCGTGGAGTTTCTTCTCGGAACCTCTTCGCGTCAGCCTGTGCTGCAATTACATTGATTTACAGAACAAACAGCGACAGGTTAGTTTACATACATACTAATTATATATATATGTCAAATGAATGAATATTTGCTCTATTATACAGACATTTTTATTCAAAAAAGTGATGCATTGACTCCAAAAATGTATACATATTTTTCAAACATAAATAAGCAGACTGCACAAATTAATAGTAGACGTACGTATATTCTATTATTTATTTATGTCAAAATTATTTAACTAATTTCTTTATATTGATTGTCGGAAAAGTTAGTTTCTCTTTTTTAAGAAACATAACTTGAAATGTAGGATATTAATTATTCTCAAATTGATTATAATAAATTGAAATAATTTAAGAATAGCCGCGAAATTTGAAGACAGAAAGCCTAACAAATCAATGCAGGATCTCAGAAGTATGATTTATAAATAAGAATTTATATAATAAATTAATCTATATTATGAGAATGAGTACATTGTATTATTGTCATCTACAGCAGCATATTCTTCAAAAAGACAAGTCCAAATTATTCTTCGAAATAGTGTTTTCCTTTTAATTATGTATTACACGGCTCTGTGGTAGCTCTTAAGGTTTCCACTTTACTATATTTCCACTTTCGTCTTGAATTGTCATGTGATTTCGGGTTGCCTGCCATTAAACTTTCCACATTATGGTCACAAAGTTCCCTTCAATATCATCAATATTGACAACAGGATGTGAAATTTTAAGATTAAGTGGGCAACATTGGGTTGATTAATAATTTAGTTGGAACGTTTTTTATAGTGGACACGCGTCTTGCTTCGGCCTTGTCGATAGCGTAGTCGTGTTGTTATAAGTGCAGAAAGCGTTAACGTCATAACTGCCACTTATCGTTATACCGCCGCTCAATAGTATGCGCTGTAATTAAGTTGCAAAATAGAAACTAAATTAATTGTAATTTTCATCTGAAAAATATACTCTGCTTACGTTTAGATATAATATTAAGGGCATTAAGGATTTAATTTTTTATAATTGAGGGGCATAAAAACACACTCCTTATTGTACAGCAACAGCTACTGGGTTAAATATTTTAATTTAGTTTAATGTGGCCATTGTTAAAAGACAGAAAGAATATAAATTCAATTCACATATGAGAATAAAGACTTTCATATCAACGCATGGCGAGGAATGACTTTTTTCTGCGTATGACCCAAATTCAAACTTGTCCAGTGATTACCTTCATTCCAACTTTTGCCATAGCTTGACCTAGTCATTTGCTGGTGAGCAATAGAGCGACGTTCACGAATCGGTGACTGGGCAATCGGAATCGATTCACATCTAAATAATTTTCACATATTCGGCATAATCAATCAAAGGAAGTGACTGCATCGGTTGAACAAGATTGCATAAAATTTATTGTACCACTTTCCAAAATGGTTGGAATTAGCTTGATATGTCACTAAACAAAGAACTAAAATTTTCTCATTGACGAATATGTCGGACCTGTGGAGCGCTGCCACAGGCATGCGGAGTAACTGAGTGTTGCTTAGATACCCGCTCAAAACATTCCATCTGCCGGATACCCAAACTCAGACACATTTACACTCGAACTTAAATGCATTAGTTTTACATTTATTATTATCTATGCCTTTTCCTAGGTGTGTTCTGCTGTTAGAAAAAAAAATCAAACAAAGATATCATGAACTAAGAAAACTTTTTTTGAACGATATACTGTAAAGCTGCAATAAATTTGTGTTAAATATTTTAACACAAATGAATTCATTTGATTGAGGGAGTATACAATGATGTTGGCAGTATAGTTAACGGGCGCGTAGGCCGGCTCGTTGGCACGACACACACTCTTTTACAATCCAGAATTCGGGGCTGGAATTAATGTGTATGTGGAAGAAGCTCGATACGTTCAGGGCAGGTGCTTTATTCTAATTTTGCTGCAGTTGAGCTCAATCTCTCTTCAGTGGAGGTTTCTTGTAGCTTTTGGTCGTGCATTGTGTTGACATTACTCATTATTCTAAACTCAGGAATGATTTCAGAGGAGTTTTCAAATTAGAACAGACTTAGGTCGAGAAATTTCAGGAAGTATTAATTATTTTTTAAAGTTTTGTCAAAAGTTCTTGAATGTCCTAAAAACTGAATATCGTCGATCGTACAGTTTTTGGGAGTGGGGAGGCTTGAATCTCAGTCGTGTGAATTGTAAGGGGTAAAATATAGTAAAATGACTATGATTCTCTCTAGATTATCGATCAGTTGAGAGAAACCTGAAGAAGGGATTATATTGACCACCGCTGATTAACACTCAGTATCAAGTGTTCTCTTCTTGCTCCTTTCTCAGTATGTTCGTATTTGGAGTCTGAAAACCTACGAGAATCGCTCAAAATTTATTCACGTCCTTAACTGAATACCTAAATTATTATCACAACAAAAAAGCTTCCAAATGATGCAGACTGATAATATTTTGTCTTTTAGGAATTTTTATTACTCTTTTGCTTATAATTTAAGCCGATTTAAACGAAGGAATACAGTATTTTTGTCGCAAAATAACAACTTCAAACTAAGCATGTTATTCTTTATCGTGAATTAAGATTAAACATCAAATTAAAAAATTAAATGAACTTCAAAATCGCATCGGTGCTACGCAGAAACCATAATAGAGTTTCTGTACTCAAAATAAAATTTTGAATCCATGCACTGATGCAAAAATTTTCCGATTCTATGACAATTGGATAAGTAGATTTTATACACCAACAAAAATGTACACATTATGCATTTTGAAAATACAATGCATCTCGAAATATTTTGGTCGTATGCCATATGCTTCACATGTTCAGTGTTCAGTGGCGCGATACAACGTTTTCAGTTTGGTAAGCAAATGATACAGAAGATGATGCATGTAAGATCCTCTTCTCACCATGAAACACCACTTAGAAAGATGAAAATATATTATAAATCTAAATATTTACAAAATATATTATAATATATATTTTATATAATATTTAATATATATATATTTATATATATTATTTTATATAAATATATCATCTTATATAAATATGAATATTTATAATATATTATAAATCTTTTATGCGATGCCAACTGAAATGACAGTTTTGCTGACTTTAGATAAATGCGAGCAGAAAAGTGCAATCAGTGCAATAACCTATTTCAAATTGACCTAATTTAATTGACTTTGCCATGGTGCAATAATAACAATAAGTAACTGTTATCAATTTTGTTGCAATGTTGCAAAATTTTTGAATTTTTCGAATTAATGTCTAAATACACTGAAATTTCATCCATTTATTCAAATAATATAATTTTAGTAATTAGGCCGTCGTTGGCTCCGATCTAATTATTCGCTGAGCGTTAAAAACCTAAAATTTGCGCTCTTTAGTAAATGCGTTTCGGAATGTAAATTTCATGATTAAGATGAAATTAATACTTTTAAATTTTATGTACAGTTATCATCACGTATAAAAATAAATGCAGTTTAATGTAGTTCGATATTCTATGACTTGATCCGTGTAGGAGATTTAGCTTAATTGAATATATATAGCAAGTTTTAATCGTGTGAGGGTAATTTGGAAGATGACCAAAACAACGAAACTTTATTGATTAAGCTGTTGACATTGAATGCCCAAAACGTATTATTTGATCGGAACTAGGATGAAATTTATTGCCAAACACAACTATAGTTGTGTATGGTTCAAAATTTGCTAGTGAAACTATAATAATTTAAAAATAGAAATGAATGAACTCGAAGCATCATATCCACCGGAGCCTCTTCACGCTGTACCGCAATTTGCGGTGAGTGTCTCACTTATTTCGAAGCACACGGTCAGTTCATCCAGTATCGACAACGGTCAGTTCATCCAGTATCGACAACGGTCAGTTCATCCAGGATCGACAACGGTCAGTTCATCCAGAATCGACAACGGTCAGTTCATGCAGTATCGACAACGGTCAGTTCATCCAGTATCGACAACGGTCAGTTCATCCAGTATCGACAACGGTCAGTTCATCAGTAGACATACGATTAAATCGACGCTCTAAACAACACGGAAAGTTCCTGATATTGCAGTGGAAGTAATGTATGAAAATAAATAACAGGTAAGGAGGTAGCCGGCACTATTAGCCACTGCTCATGCGAGCTCTTCGTTGTTATCGGATTGTTTTAGTGTTTACTCCTGCAAAATGCTTACTTATACGGGGTATCAACAAGCTAATATATTTCTGCTTGAGTTTTGCATTTAATATTATATTAAAAAGTTCTTACTTGCATGGAAAAGTAATCAAGCACAACGAAAGTGCCATTTCTGAGAGAGTATTCTTATCGTACCGTATAATCTGTCTGTGGCCTTATCGATCATACGCGCGTGCCATTCTATTTTCTGCTCGCATTTTTCCCTCACGCCGGAGCTTCCGGCCTCCAGGAACGAGCGGAGGATCAGTTCGTCGATACTTGAATACGCGGTCAAAGGGCAAGTAGAACTCGATGGTTCTTTATAATGCAACGTTTGTACTCTTGATCATTTTCAAACCCGATAATGTTGTAGAGGAGGGAAATGCAACTTCTATAGATGGCTTTTATATTGATCATTTTTTTAATCAAATGGCTTTAGACTTCCGTGCGATGTTGCCGGATGCACTCTGTATTGCGGAATAGTAGTAGCTCTATAGGATCATTTGAACTGCGGCACCATACGGTACAGGTGTGTACTGTACACGGGATAATTTGATATTTTTAAATTGGACCAATATTGTGGTCATTCTGACCTGTAATATATTAGTGTGATGTCAACCCGTATAGCTATAGGTGTGAAAAGGTCTTCTTAGTTTTTATGATTTAGTTTTAGGCATGACCCATTGTGTACGTTTAGTGTCAGTAATAGTTTTATCCCGTACAGAGAGACTTCGGTGTCTTGATCAGAAGTCTTGACTTCGCTTCAACTCACAAACGCTCTGTTTATCTTATCGCCGTTGTCGATTGAAAGTTACGCATTGATTGTCCTTATTCTCCTGTCGGTTAGTGTGTTGATCTGCTAGATGTGTGACGAACCGTGGTTAGGTTATTGCGGATAGGATAAAGTCTCGCGTTACGCCCAGTTGGTACTGGCCCCTTAACAATGTCAGTCGTCGGCCTTAAATGTGCTTATTTAGCATCTTTTGATGCACACTTGAAAATTGGGAATTTTTCTTATAATGAATTTTTTTGTAAATAAAAAGATATCCCATAGACGAAATAGAGAATATTTTGCGCAACTCAAGCAGCATAAATTATTGAGATACATTTCATATACATGACTGAATATTTCATATACATGACCTGCTTACGGCCATACGAAGACGACTGATGTTGATTTGTCAGTTATATTAGAGAAGACTGACTAAGAAATTGAGCACCGAAAACAGAAGTCGAACAGAGCAATAAATGCTGTGAAAGTCTGAAAATTTGTACAAAAACATCGCACAGCTAAAATATTAATAAAAATCGATTGCAGCGTCTACCTGGAAAACGGATATAAAATGGAAATACTGTTAACATTTGGAACATTGCATTTATAATGAAAACAGGATCTTAATACTTGTTGCAACACAAACTGATTTTCCAACGATATTAACAGAATCTTGGTAAAGGTTGTAGAGCTTTCTTTTATACTCTCTTGATCAGCGATGAGATATAGCAGGCGTCGATGAAAGAGCAATCGGACAGCGTTTGGTCCGCAACACTTTGCTTGAACCTTGGATAGAGTATGGCAGCGGTGCGAACCGAGTTCCATTCAACCAGCCTTTGCTGTTGAACCTTCGTGCAACTGCCGGACGGACGGGGTAGGTTGGGATGCGACGAACCCTAAAAAGAAGCGCCGATGGTTCATCATCAGTTCTCGCGTCAAGTGCCCTTTTTCTTCAGTCTCCGTTCTTGCAACAAAGTATTTACGAAAGATTAATGGAGCAGGTAAGCCCTGCTCCCGTACGGAAGAGCTTGTGGTGTCAAATCATACATGGTTCCCGTAAAAAAGAGTTCGTGATGTCAAAACGTAGCCTGCTACCGTAAAAAGGGTTCGTGCGGAAACATTGTGATCAAGGCAGGGTAGGCTTGCTCTTAGGTATTGCGACCATTGAAAACAAGCTTCGAAGAGTCATCCACCAACCACCATTACCATGAAGAATTACTTTTCTCGGGAACAAGCGTTCATCAACGCGAGACGGGTTTCCGAGTGTCGAAAGCTTCTTGTCCAATTTTAATGCAAATATTAGTAACGAACTCAACGTGCGAGTAGTAACCGTTTCAAAAATAGCTGTTTGAAGAGATATAAATTAAAACTAGATTTAATGTCCTTAACCTGTTCTGGCAGTACTAATAGCAGTACGCTATCATGAAGAAACATATGTCATTCATGTTTTATAAATGAATATTATAAATCTAATGAGCCATTTTGATCACAGAATTCGGACGAGATGACGGCGGCAGTGGCGCGGGCAAACGAGCAGCGCAGAGCAGCGGGCAGAGGCCAGCAGGAGCAGCAGGAGGTCCTCGACCTGAGGACAGGGGCCGGAGGAGTGACTCCTCTCATGACGGCCTGTCAGGAGGGTCATGAGAGAACTGTACGGCAGATACTCCAGATGAAGGTAAACTGTCAGGAGGGTCATGAGAGAACTGTACGGCAGATACTCCAGATGCTGTCTCTTATACACATCTAGATGTGTATAAGAGACAGTGAGAGAACTGTACGGCAGATACTCCAGATGAAGGTAGACTGTCAGGAGGGTCATGAGAGAACTGTACGGCAGATACTCCAGATGAAGGTAGGCTGTCAGGAGGGCCATGAGAGAACTGTACGGCAGATACTCCAGATGAAGGTAGGCTGTCAGGAGGGTCATGAGAGAACTGTACGGCAGATACTCCAGATAAAGGTGTCAATGGTACCAAATAGCCCACAAATGGGCACACTTTTCGAAGTTTGAAACCCCTTACAAAATTATGTCCAACTTGATAACCTACAATGTTTATATATGTAAATCAAGCGTTTCACAACAGTTAAAAATCCAATCGTTGATTGCTGCAAATGCAAGTTGAACAATCAAATGGACATTTAAATCAAGCAAAAAAATCAACTTGATGACAAAAAGTAGACCAGTAACTTCTCGTAAAAAAAGAATTTAGAAATAAGGCTCCGTAGATAAAAAATGATTTGCACTTTTATCGTACATAAGATTAAAATTATTCTTCAATATTATAACAGATATAAGAAGAAATGATATGCATAGCGGTAGCAGTTCGTAACAACAAGATTACTTCATAGGACATTTGGCCAGGATCTTTGCTTATAATTAATCATAGTTGTAAATCTCTCTAATTGTAATATTATGATTTCTAGCTGACATATTCTTACAACCTCTTCCTCCTCAAATTTTCAATGAACTCGAAAAATAATATTTAAAATTTCTTTGACTCATGCCAACAAGTTACAATATAGTAGGAAGTATTTCCATGCTTTATATTATACCAATATTTTAACATGTTGACTACGATTGCTTCTCTTGTATTACTATTATTTCATTTTTTGTACTGTTTTTAAACAGGGTTGCCAGACGGTCAGTTTTTCCGGACAAATTCCGTGATTTAGTTTTTCTCAATTGCGTTGGCCGGCTAAAATTTATGATAGGGGTACTTCCTAATTAAATTTGAAATACTGCAAAAAGAAAATGAATGGAATTTTCATTGTGGAACTTACAAAAAAATATTATATTTTGAGTTATAGGCCTTTTTTGGCCTTTTTTGTTCTCGGATTTGGCCAATTTTAGGCAACCTGAATTATGTACCAATACGTCCTGGAGAAATGCATTTCGTGGTACGCATATGTACCACTTCGTAGTCAACGTGTTAACTAAATTATTCGACTGATTTTACATGTAAATAAGCTCAATCGAAATGCCTTGAAATTTTTTTTGTATCTCTATAACAGAGAGTTTCTGTCCGTGCAATGAAGTAATATTTCAGTTGTGAATTATTATTATTCCTAAGCTGGAAATGACCTAAAATAGCACTTAATTTGGGTAATTTTGAACTCGAGCATTACTGTAATGAGATTCTGGCAGATCGCAGGAGTCACTTCCCTAAAGTAGGACGAAATTTTCTTGCCTGCGGTGCAGCATAACGTGTTATACACGTTCGTGGCGTAGCACTCAAGTTGCTTATCGTGATGAGTCTCAGTCATACGACAGAAACAAACTACCAAGGAATGCAACTGCACCTGCTCTCTATCTCTCTCTCTCATTGATCATTACAGCCGAGCATGGTGCACGACCGTGACCGTACCGGCAAAACAGCGCTACATTACTGCACAGACAACCCCACACTCGCCTGCATCGATCAGGTACGTCTCAATGCTTGACATGTATCGAGTGTTACCACTCACTCTTTCTCGCGCTCTCTCTACCTCTCTTTCTATGTATCTCTCTGCACCCTTCCTCACTCTTTCTAGAACCTTCCATATACCTCTCTTTCTATAATTCTTTATGACCTTTTTTTCTTTCACGCTTTCTACTTCACGTTATTCTATTCTCCAATCTCTCTTAATTTTGTCTATTTTCTCTTCTTTGCCGTATTCTCACCAACTCCTAATGCCTTTTACAAAGGATAAATTGGTTAGATAACCAAGAATTTAGTTTGTATTCAAGACTCTCATTGCATCGTCTGGCCGACTTCTTAAATAAGTTTACCCAATTCTCTCGCCATTCGTTATAGGTAACTTAGTTACTCTGAGCTCGGGTAAAAGGACATATGCTTATATATCTGCTGAAGCTGGACCTCTTCGAAGCAATGTTCGCATGTCTGGCGTCAGAAAAAATCTCATTGATCTGTAGCCGCTGAAAACTCGAGAAGTAGAGCGCGTCATGTAGAAATAATTGAATAGCTTCGACTGGTGCCACAACCGTGTGGCTCGGACTGGCAAAGTTCACTGTAAATAAGTGGTAATGATCTAACGGGGATATCTGCTTTTTCTCTACAATTCTTTACATATTTTACGTTGATTCTGCATTGTGACTGCATCGGTTTGATTGTTAACAACGATTGCTTTTGCTACTAATTGCTGAAAGAATTATATTTGAAGAGTTATTCTACAATTTGTTTCCTTCGTAAAACTCTAATCCAATTTAGGTTAAAGTAGTTATGTCATTTACTTAGTCACAAGAGAATTAATCACGTCAGGTCCTTTACAAATGCGAAGAAAAGGCAAGTGGCTATAAAGGCAAAATGCAAGAACTAAAGAGGCTAAAATTCAAGAAGGCGAGATGCATAGAGTCCGAATTTATTTTGCCTTTGTTCATCGTTGACTACTATAAGTTTATAACGGATAATTTCAGGCTACGCCATTTACATGATGTATCGGATAATTTCACTAGACAATCGTGAATACAATACCTAAGTACTGGTATGGCTCGGAGCCATCCACTTTGAAAACTCATTGTGTCCAAATACTGATGCACTTTATTACATTTCTGGGTAGTCCTGACAAAGTTTGGCCTAGAAGAGGCTTACCGTGCTACGTCCGCTCTCTTCTCATGCCGTGGGAAATAAATGATTGTTACTATTTGGACATTATGACCCATTCTTTTTTCTGAGCATAGTCAAGAGGTAATCTTTTCATGAATCCAAGGCCTTCTTCCGTTGTAGCGTAAACACAAGGAGAGCTCTCGTTTGCATCACGCAAATTACTCATACATCTGCTAGACGATGCACGGACAAGACGAAGAGTAGCGTGAGCCTCTCAAGTCCCGAGGATTGCAGGCACGCAACGTGACCTTCGCTCTGACCGTCACGCTAGAGATCGTAGAATAAATGATGTGGACGAAAACGTTGAGCACGCGTTGATTTCATTCAAATAACGTTTTCAACGTTGTTTTTAACGTTATATAAACTTCATATGCCTGCAGGAATGTATAGCGTCTATAAAAAAATTTTTAAATGTGTTAGAATTATAATAAGACATGTAAAACAAGAAAATTAATCGTGATTTGGCCAAAAAAAATTTAAATGGTAGGGTTATCATTAAACAAGTAAAACGAGAAAATTGATCGTGAAATGGCAGTAAATAAAGTAATTTCTCGCGATTAATGCCGTGGAATTTATTTTACAATACCCCAAGCCTTCAAATCATGATAATTAATATAAATTATATAGAGTACAAAACATACATGGCTGCACCATAATAAGTGGTGGCTATAAATAGCAAGTAGTCGGCCTCAAGCAAGCCCATTGGGATCTATATTTGGGACGGTGAAGGAAGGCCGAACAAGATGCCGAGTTACGTGAAGAAGTCGTGAATTTACATGACCTTAGGAGACTATTAGTGAACTTGTGGCACTGTAATTTCGTACCCAGGGTTTTAATGGTAGGAGTTTTACTGCTCTTATTGACCAATTTCCGCTGCCTTGAATAGCACCATTAGTCGATTGCTTGGAAATTTGTCAGATGAAGAATGGGAAACGAGTCAATCATTGAATTTCAGCAAAATGCTTACCTGCTTTTGAATGCTCCAAGTCGCACTTGAACAATAAATTTCTACTCTATGAAGCAATACCAAAATTATTTACTGTTAGGTTTTCTGGGCAAGACTTTTCATGGGAACAATGACTCTTAAAGCACTGACTTGCATACTTCTTTGCGTGCATAAAAATACTTATTTATTTACTGTAAATTCTAGCAGCAACTAAATTGAATCTTTAGTTGGCTATCGATTCCGTTATAAATCCAAATCACATTTCGGGAACTGATTTTGATTTTTGAAACCTCGAACTTAGTTGAATTATATGCTATACTATATATAGTGGTTCAAATTGTACAGATCGCTAAAATTATTTTAAAATTTATGGGGATCCTTCATGCGCATTAATTCACTATGTCGATCCCCAAAAATCATACTTGAAGCGCAGCAGTTTGATATTTTTGCACCAACGACTTTCTTCAGAAAACATTATACCTCGACAAGTTCCTCATAATCATTTTTAAAAATCTCCTAAATTTCGAGCATAGTTCAAATGCAATTGCAGTGTTAATCTCACGATGTTCAGAACTATAAAACACTGAATTCTCTAGTTATTTTCATTTCTCCGCTTGATCAATCAGAATACATTTGATTCATTTTATGGTTTCCTAGAGTGAAAAAAACACAACGTTTAAACAATTTATTCTGATTATTTTAACATGATGTGAATAGAGATTTGAGGCATAAGAAGTGAAATAAACATCTTTCTCGAACGGGGCATGTCTCTTACAGTTTTTAAATGCATTTCAAATGCATCTTTCCATTAAAAGTTCAAACTTTGATCAATTTTTATATTTTTACAGAAAAATATCACGGCTGCGTTTTTTGTATTGTTACAAGTTAAGTAATTTTATCCTTAACTAACTTTAAGTTTCTTATTTGCAAGGTGGTGGCGGCAGATCCTCGGTTGTTGTCAGCACGAGAAGAAGATGGTCACACGCCCCTCCACTTGGCCACGATCGCCGGCAACAGAGTCGTGGCCAAATACCTGCTCACCAGGGGCGCTGACATCAACGCTCTCGATGACGAGAAGCACACGGCCATCCACTGGGCCACGGGTGAGTGGCAGCTGATGACGAGAAGCATACGGCCATCCACTGGGCCACGGGTGAGTGGCCGCTGATGACGAGAAGCACACGGCCATCCACTGGGCCACGGGTGAGTGGCAGCTGATGACGAGAAGCATACGGCCATCCACTGGGCCACGGGTGAGTGGCCGCTGATGACGAGAAGCACACCGCCATTGTGCATCGTTAAATAGGGTCAATAAAAGAGGACGAATTGCATCCAGCTTTTTGAATGAGTTCTTAAATGTACATTGCAAGGTTCAAGTTTAATGACTGTGAATTTAATAGTCATGTGAACTCTGAGTTGTTATTCGTACATGAGATATTTTTACTTGATTTTTGTGTTGGCCTTGTATAATGCCTATTTTTCTGAAATGTATCCGCTATGCCTTCAGAAATTACAAAAATAACTCTACGGTTGAACACATTAACATTTCAATTACTTTTTCCTGCAAACCTACGCAGTCTTTGGCAGCAAGTTTCAAGACGAAACCAAACAATTTGGCTCAGTAAATTAAATATTTTTATTATATAATTTTTATCTACAAATTTAATCGTAAAACAAAAATATTTCTATCGCACATATATAAATTAAGCTGAATTCATTCTGTCTTGAGGCACATTGAAAATTTAATCCGTTCCATCTATATAATAGAAAATAAGGCAGATCGTGTAACATAATTCACAAATATTGATCACTTTTAAAGTTACTGTCAACTGTTAAGGTTTTTAATTGGTGACCACCATAGTAGTACGAGAATCCATTATAACAATATCATATTAATGACGAAATAAAGCATTTAAAGTGTCTTATCGTATAGTATAAATTGAACGACGCGTGTTTCGGCGGCCGGTGTGACGCGCACGACGAGTGACGGCTGCGTTACCAGCGTCACGACATCGCTGTTGTAGGTCAAGGCCGCGAGGCTAGGAGTTATTTATAATACTAGCTTATTTATTATAAAATAACACAATAATTATTGTCTAATGATAAATGTCAACGTGCAATAATAACTTAACGATCATGAAATAATATTACATTCGTATGTTATTTGTTTATTGCTGAAATGTTTATCTACAGATGTAAAATTTTTAGAATGTGGTATTTATAAAACATGGAGGCTATAAATCAACTGGTTAAAATGATAAAAATGTAAGTGGAGAAGTTGAAGTGAAAAACTTGACTGCTTTATTTATATTTTTAATACTAAAGTGTCCCATGCGATGAAATATTTCATTTGTGCTGCGCAGTAACAAAACAAGGGTAGGCATCACGTCATTAAATGCAATCTCGATAAAAAATGAATTGATATATTAACGTACTAGTTAATGTATCTATACCAGAAATCTCACCCCCCCCCCTCACAACCTGAACAGATCTGACTGCACACTATTGAATGATATTTTTCCTTGCACACTAATTTTTCACGTTATGTATGCGTTCCTCTAAAGTATCTTTTCTTGATGAAAAAACAATATCCATGGTCGGTTGATCACTTAATACAATTAATATGCATACCTTGCATGTTCTAGTTGCTCTTGTGATGATAAGTATCCCGGATTCATCATTACACTGAGTCCGAAATCATCATTTGTTACGTAGACTTCCTCATTGTCACACAAAAGTTCGCCACAAAGCGTAGTGCCGTAATGACTCATGACGACCTTAACTCATGTCGTAACCTTGCGGCTTACGACCCATACATTTGTTACGAAGCCTTGAAAGTTACGTTAACAAATGGGCTGTCGTTAGGAGAAGCACCTATGGTGATTATACAGAGATAATTTGTCAATGACAAGAATTGTTCGCTGCTAAACAACCTCAAACTTTTTATTCAGTATTGTAGCCAAACATGCCTCGCAGGCGAGTTGGCCTGCACATGTAATTTGTTTCCATCGATTTGAGGGCCCATCGCTAGGAAGTTTGCAAGGACGTATTTTGCATGCAAAAGTGTTTCTGGAAGAATGATAGGGACTTTTGTGGACACATTTTTTCTTCACGGTAAATATTTGATCCTTATTTTTTCCTTAACAGTAGCCAATTTAATTTTATTGAAAATCAGTCGATAAGGAGTATGCACACCATTAGGGATTAATTCGAGGGAACTTTTAAAATGCACCTTAGAGCCTTTAATCACTCATGAGATCACGACATGAGCAAATACAATAGTTTTCAGATCTTCTAATGAACTTCAACCTGCTATAAAGTTAAGTGTTTTTTAATTTTATGCTAACCTTGAGGCTGATATTCCTGGACTTGCATCCCCAGTGACATGCGACTGTATATCGTGGTCATCTTACAGACTGCACGCAATCGGCCTCCTATCCACATAATTTGTGCTGAGATTTCCATTATTAGTCAAAATTCGTATCTGTTTGTGTCACCTAGAAACCCTTAAAACTGTATAAACTTCATAAAAATTCGAATTTTTATCGATAATTCATTACAACGCCATCATCGCGTTCATATGTTTTGCCAAAGACAAAAGAACGTCGAAGGAATGATATTATTCATCTTTGTCTGTACCCAAGCTTTGTTTCCCAGGAATGAGAACAAATCGATTCTGTAATCGCAACAAACTCCGTCATTCTGATAGACCTTCACTCTACTCTTCAGCTCTGACGTCATACTTAGGATGCCAGTAGCCAGGTTAGGGAGCAGACAGAGATTACATTTAGATTTGCATTTGAGGTTTAGAGTTGATCGAACGTGACCTGGACACTGTGAGAAACCTTAAGACAGTATAGTGTAGGGTGTCGTTGTGTAAGGTCGGTACTTGTGTAAATGGGAAAAGTAAGGTTATTGTTTACTGATACTTTGTTTATATGTGCTCATTATCTTCTGTGCATATTTTAGAAGCGGTTTTCAGTTGTATGGGTCTGAAAAGTTAAAGGTATTACACCAAATTTCGAATTATTTTTGTTGAAAGACGGAATATGTTTTTAGTTTGCGCTACGCAGTTTCGGTCACGACTTTTATCCCTCCAGAAACCAAGCCAATATTTGTCTTAGTCAATGTTTCGATTCAGAAACTCATTGACTTTAATTGAAAGATATTTGAATTTATAAAATAACTGTTGCAAACATTTATTATTTTTTTACTTGTGAGCGAATTAACATTTATTATTTTTCATAGCCGTCATTGATTCGTTTTACGGAAAAACTCCATAGATTGAAGCTCGGTCGTTCATGATCCTGAAAATTCATATGAATCGCTTGAGTTAGACAACACAGTTGAAAATGTAGAAATCATTTTAACTTTAGTTCCGGCCAGGCTTTATTCTGCGTGACGCCTTTTAACAAGGAAACGCCTATGCAATCGTGCTCGCTGCTGTCTAATTACGAGCTGTGAGGCTGTGATCACCCCTAATACTCTGGAGTCTGAATTGCCATGTGGCCTTCATTCTTCATAAAATGCTACTAGTTCACAACAACATTTTGCAGCAAAGAACAAGAGAATAAGCTGGTTAGTTTTTCACATTTCTTTTCGTAACTGTGTGCTAAATTAGTCATACAAAGAAAGGTGGATGGCTTAATGATTAATTTGATCAAAGAAAATTAAATTCTTCATCCAGATAAGAGCATTGTAGATAAGACGGCACTTTATACGCCTATGCACTGATTTTTTTTAATTCGCAAGAAATTTAAATGATGCAGAAGGTTGGAGAAAAAGTATAAATAACGTATTTTAAATCAATAAATATAAATAAAAGCCGCCTGTCCATCGTAGATATTTATTCTATTTTATACACATTTACCAGCCACGAAAATCGTGGGATCTTTCAATCAAATTTTCTATAAAGAACTACCATGAATTCTTATTCCCAACTGTGCGAACCTGTCTCAAAAAATATTTCTAAATTTCACAGTATGAAAATATTTCCTCTCTAGACCTTCGCTTGCACAAATTTTTGATGCCAACAAAATTTTTTTCAATTGTACATACAAACCAGTTATAGCCAGCTAGTGAATACTTCTTCGTTAGTTTCAGACGAGGATTTTATTCCACTTTATTAGTTATTCTTTTCGAGAATTCAAATGACATTCATATGGGAAATCATTTACCCAGGACGTCTGAAAATCAAATAAGTCTATCAAGAAACCACTCCTAAATACGTTCGTAACTTAATGCCTAACATCAATGGCAATTAATACCAATCAAAATTAGAAGTAAGCAATAAAGTAAAAATTATATTACATGAATTTCGGTGTCAAATTTTTCATGGTAGTTTCATCCGTGGCTATTTGGGCGATTCTTATGCGGCCATCTACGAATCGCTTTTGTAATTCCTCCTTCATTTTAAGCCTTAACTTTGTGCTTGCGTGTAAAGGTCAGCCTGTGGTGAGATGCTGCAAACAAGCTGATGGTTTTTAACCGCACAATGAGTTTGCACGACCTACAAAGTTCAGCTTTACTGATTACACAAAGAGTAAATTATAGATATTCAAGCTTTTAACTCAGTTCACAGTTATTATAAGTGAATTATTCAGTATTTCATAATTATATAGAGTATTATAGAGGGTATTAGAGAGCATTATACAGAAATTCTTGTTTTCTAGTCAATTCACATTGCATAATTGTGAAAGGAAAATTTTAGAAGCCTATAGTTCAGTATTTCAATCAAATGAGTTCATTTCAATGATATGCACTCAGTTTTTATACAATACACTGCAAGAACGGGTGTTTGACACGACGTTTGTGCATATCTTCGTTAAACAGCGAAGCCAGCATCCTAAACTGATAAGCTTGTTTTTCCTGGGCTTCGTCATGAAAATGAATTGTTTTTGAAGATTGCACTCATTCACAGGTCCGTTACTACTTACTGGCTATATATGATGTCTATCGAAATTACCTGTCAGCACGAACCTTGAACTAACAACGCCCGAATCTGTTTCAGTTAGGAGCGTTTTGCTTCAAGCACTTTGCAACAATATTATCCCATTAGACTGCAACGATTGGATCTCATATGCCTCAAAATAATTTCCGTTTA